CGTGTTATTTGTCCAAAATATTTAGCTCTTAATTAACACAAACCACAAGCATTCATGACGTTTCTTTAACATAACATTATTGGAGTATTTGGCGTGTTTCTGATGAGAGAAGTTTGCCTGCTGCGTTTTTTAAACAATTTGTTTGCAACAATTTCGATCTAAACTGAATTTGTAACTCATAACTGAGCTACACGCCAAACTTGTATTACACGACATACAGGGCTTTAAGAAGTATAAACAGTGCCATGTTTGAGTGGCCCGGAGTGTTATGTAGAATGCTAGGTGCAAATTCGGATCATCAACGTTGCCACCTTTGCATTAGTTTGCGTTGCTCTGCAGAATGAGGCGAAGGAAATTGCAGACCTATACGTGAAATTGCTCAACAACCGCTCGCTAATCTTATGTTCAACAACTTTTGAACCACGGACTGAAACACTACAAAGCGTTCAGATATCACATTAAGAAAACTGACTTACAAATGACCAGAACTAAAGTTTGTATCATGTGGCTTACCCTAATGACACAAACGACTGGATATTGCACTGCTAGTAAACGTACCTCGATTTTTATCGACTGATTTTCCGTGTCGTAAGACATATTAGTTGTTCTTCACTTTACGGATAACACAAGATTATAATACAGTCTTAGGACCTGGCTTTGAAACCAAGATGTTTGTTGATTGCTCGGCGAAGCATAACAGTATATTGGCTTTATGAAACACAATGTGAAGCATTAGAGCGCAAAAAAAATATATACATATGAATGTAAATTCGAGTATTTCGGTTCTCCCAAGAGATTTTTTACTGAAAATCGTTTCCTGTACAAGCAAGAAGAATAAAATAACTGACCTCTGCGACCAAAGGGTCATTTTCACAAGGAGAAACAATCGAAAAAATTACCTCTTCTTAGTTAAATATAACTAGTAAACAAATAAAAGCTCCATTTTACATTATATTTAATTAGGTAACTTAAAACTATCACGCGAACTCGATCATTGGGCCGCGCAAAAGAATTCATTTCCATAGTCCTGCTCAATGACTGACTTTCGGAAGAACTTGAAAAACGGGCTACCACCGAAATCTGATGAAAACGTCGCCCAGAAGTTAAGCATATCAAATGAACGTCGAGAAATGAGAAAAGGAAAAAGTTTTAAAGTTTTTGTCATTAGAATGATTTCACAAACCCCGATTCTTATATGCTAATTGAAATCCTTAAATGCTAATGTGCGAGAACAATACAGCCAGCACGTTCTAAAGTACACCTTTCTAATTTCCAGATGGTTTCTCGCAAACACAAACAACAATGCTTCCAATGTTTTAATATCTGTTTATCGAGCAGAATCGCCCTCGATCTCATTTCAATCTAGGTCTCGCTTGAAACTTGAACCGATTTAGAAAGCTTAGCTATGCGCACCGAGCAAAACAGGTTCAAACAGAAACTATATTTTAGTGGTCAAAATGCGTTGAACAAACCTTATATTAAACAGTAATATAAGAATCGGGGTTTGTGAAATCACTCTATTATCTATGTATATTATAATTATTTTTAAGAAAATGTCAAACGTTTCAATCGTGCCTCATTTTGTGGGAAGAACACGAGGAAATGCGTAAGGTATTCAAGTTCACTATTCAAGTTCGTAAGCACCTGAAATAACAGGAAAAATAAAACAAGGTTTAATCGGTTGTTTAGTTCGTTTTGATACTGAAGAGCTGAAGAAGCAGCTATTTTTACGAGAAATTCAGATTTAAAATTATTCCTCGGGCGAGGAAAGCTATTACGTCCAAACATACTAAGTATAGTTCGAAAAACGCCCAAAAACTCACTACAGTGCGACAGAGGGAATCTGTCCACTAAATACAGTTATGTTGCTTATTATATCACTGAGAAAATTACTTCGTTGTGATTGGCTGAGAGCAGGCTAATTTATCGTTAATTTGCAAATTAACGCGCGCGCTTTCGGGCGTCGTTTTCCCAGTCGTATAATAATTGAGTAAACGTATAAAAGCTCGAGTAATAAAGCAATTAACTACTGATATTGGAAAATTCACTCAAATTGCACTCGCCTAGGCTCGTGCAAAAAAAAAAAACCTATAGAAATTTTTGATCAAAAGAGATTTGCTAAAGCAAAGGCATACAAAGATTACTGAAAGATTTTATACTCGACGTTTCAGAGCCATCATGACGCCAATAGAAATTAAGAGAAATTAGCATAAGAAAGCGAATATTTAAGTCGAGCTAAATGGTCCTAGATCTGAAAATTAACATACTGGCTGAACAAACACTTAAGAGAAAGACTGAGTCAGTTTGCACGTTCACCTCTACTGAAGGCCTTCGAGAAAACAACGTTGGACAACAAATCACGCAAAC